TTTTTTTTATTTTGATAATGGCTTTGTTAATATTTACTTGATTCTTTGTCCATCAGTTTCCCAAGATGGTGTATTTTATTTATTTTAAGAATGTGTTTTTATGTGTGCACTGTTATTTATCTTATTGTGGAGTCTCCCTATAAATTTTGCACCACCAAACCATTGCAGCTCAAGTCACTCACTGAGAGACTTCCTCATAGAGGTGGTGTGCAAGAGGTAGCTCTGAATGGAGCAGGGTTGAGTGGAAGTTGTACCATATTGTTATGTCATGATCTGGTTATGCCAGTCCCCAGCATTGTACTCCACCAAAGTCCTTTTGGTTCAGTAAGTGAGTAAGGGTTACGCTATCAGGAACCCTTATAATAGCAACATCTACCACCCTTTATCCGAAGCGCGAGTATCCGGATCAACCTCCCACCCGGGCTCAGCCAGGACGGAGATTGTATCACAATCGGAAGAGAGGCGCGAGAATGGAGAGAATTGAGAGTTGATTCGGTTATTGACTTCTGACCTGATGAGTTGTTTTATCGGTTGACTGATTTTATGAAGTGCGTTGTATTACGGGATCTCGTATTGCGGAGTTGTGGACTTCGGAGAGAAATTACACTCTGCTTGTGACTCTGGCCGAAGACCGATTTATTAAACCTTAGTGTTCTTGTGCTGGAGTCTCATCCTATCCGTGGTTGATGACTTAATAGTAGGGTTTCCCTCAAATGAAATTTAAGATAAGATGATCAATGTTGGCTACGTGTATATTCACCTAAGATTGACGCGAAAGGATGAGCCGCAGAACGAACGTGAACAAAGCGGGTGTCCTTTGGAACTGAAGTAGAGACGACTTGGAGAATACAAATTGGGAATGACTGCGATGAAGCTTCACTGGTTCAGTGAAGTCAAACAATGTGACTCAATCGTGACCGAAGTTCCCATGAGTTCAAGTTGCGGTTGTTTCATCCAGACTTCGACTTGGAACAGTGTCATCGTCGAAATAACTTTACCTGCAAATTTTCCCCGCACCTCAGCATTTGAAGATAAATTAGGAAAGAGCAACTTTCACGACCTGTCATTTCGACAATTCACTTCTCATCAACTTCGTGCTGTTCGGTGGAATTCTAAAATTAATTATGTTCCCGAGCATTTCTTAGTTCATTTCTCTCTTCATATCTGACAATGTACTTGTCGTTTTCCTCTTCAGACGTTGATTTCACGTCGAACACCGTTGTGATTTTCAACGGTTGTTACATTTGATTCATCCAGCATATTGTTCAATTGTCGCGTTTAGCTGATTTCCCCTGTTTTGTGGGTGTACATTGGTTCTGGCTCCATCATTTTACAGGGATTGTTCTCTTGGTGTGGGGCAGTTCAACAGCTGTTTCTATAACAACTGAATTGTTCGCGGCCGCAGTCCGGCTGAGATATGTGCTCCAGTGCGATTATTCGTGACCATCACACCTTGGTTAACTGCGAAACGTCCTCTTTTCCGACAAGTACTTGCCGGGATCGGGGAAAGCAGTATCATTGGAAACAATTTTTAATGTATGTGTTTCATCTGTTACGCAAAATCCATCGTGAGATTTTTGATCAGCTTGGCTATGGTACGAGGTCTTCATCCAAACGTTTTGCGTGCCTGTTAAGTGGTGATCGCGGCAAAAATGCGCTCATGATCATTGACATTCTGTATGCCGTAAACGATTTTCCAACATGAACAGGATATTTTCAGCTTGGGTGGAGACTGAAACTAATATCAGTGGTAGTACCATCTCCCTTCGAAAGCTGGCGGAGCTATGGCGTGTTTATTGCTTTTTTGTAAGACACGGCCTGGTGTTCGTGGTTTTTTCGCGATACAGTATTTTGGTGTTAATGTTATTCTGGTATTGATGTTATGTGGCCAGAAAGAAAGCGGATTTCGTGATGAGAGGAGTTTGTAAGGTAAACTTCGCGTGATTCTCGCGTTGTAGGACTGAATGACGAAAAGTGCCGCCGGAGCATAACATACGGTACAATTCTATTCAAGGCTACAATTCTATTCACCATTTCAGGACAGGAATCCGATTTAATGGTGTTCCACAAATTTTTCCAGGATCCCGTGGAGGAAATGGAGAGCATTTCTGTGATTAAGCCAGACTTCGCTTCTGATTTCAAGAATGCACCTGACAAATTGGATGTGCTTAAGAAGTATGAGCGTTGGTTTAACGCTCAGCCGGATCACGTGCGACGTTCGAACGCGGATGATGTGCTCGAAGACATCGTTAATTTGGCCACATCTCATGATTCTGCTGTCCCTGGATTATGTAATAACGATAAGTTCGTGAGCATCTGCTATGCGATTTTGGATTATTGTTCCTCGGACGGAGGTTACGAAGTTATGCAGAGGAAGCGTATTGCTACAAAAACTGCAAGTTTCTTCTCTCGTTGGTCCGCAATTCTCGTCTCTGAAGGGAATTACGCGAAAGCTTTTGAAGTCTGCCGGAATGGAGTATACTTGAACGCTGAACCTCGTGAGTCCCTTTTAACAGAAGCGCAAAGAGTATACGTGAAATTACGCGAGGGCAATGATAGTCTACCTCGTAAGATGCCGAATTTTGCAAAAATGTTCTACAATGAGAGACATTCGAGTTCGATTGAAGAGCGCCTAGCGACGCTCCACTATTACCGGACCATTCATGGAAGGACTATAGGAAGTGCGCGACGCATCGTTGAAGTGATGCCCCCGGACATTTATGCGCTTTATTTCCATCGTCTTTATTCCCTTGGTTACAAAGAGCACGGCATACAAGATCTTCCACCGCATGCAGTGATGCATGTACCCCCGGACGTCGGCGATGGCGATGGACCCCAGGTGAGGAGGATATGTTCTGATTCAATTGAATAGAGCGAATTTGGAAGCTTCGAGATTATTTTTCGTGGTAAACAATTCCGTTGAAGGAATTTCTGCTTGCATTATTTCTTGAACGCTTGCGGAATTTGGGGACTCCTGTTGCAAAACTTCCTATTTCTGATCAACTACTGTGGAATTTCGGAAGCTCTACTGTGCAGCGTCAGTAATTCGCTTTCGGAATAGGTCGTCATGATTTTTTTTCGAATTCAAGAAAAAATGATTCATGAAATTTTTGCCCTCAAGTTCCAATCTGGAAGAATTGGTAGTAATTGTAACATTTGTTTGTTTCAGCTACGCCGTCACAGTAATCTTAATGCTGTATTAAATTTATGGGACCTGTCATGCAATTCTACTTAGCTCACCAATATTTGAACTCAACCTCGATGAATTGAGTGAGAGTATTTTAACAAAATTGATGAACAAACTTCAAATTTTACATGAGCAGACTTGAGACTGCCATGACGGGCAAGAACCTGAAATGATACATGGCTTCGCCCTTTAGTTTGCATGATATTGCCGGAGCAAAGATAGTTGCCCGAAAAGTTCTCACTGCAATTTTGCGAGTCTTTTTTAGGAAATTGCGAATTATTTGCGGAAATTTGCTCAATTGTTCGCATTTTTTTGGGTATTAATTGCATCGCACTTGCTGTAACAGCGAAAAGAAAAAAAAAGCATGACGTAATTAAAAAGGTTATGTTTACTTGATGCAGTAGATGATGCAATATCTTTAATTTATGTTTTGTCAATAGATTTTGCGCTGTCTGGTGAGCCAAAGCAAAAACGGGTGGCAATCCGAGTCTATATCACTTCCAGTTACCACGGGTCTTGCTTATCTGAATGTTTTCTTCTTGGTTTATCTTCAGATGTCTTTGGAAGAGTGGTTGATGAAACGCCGGATGACAACAGAGCGAATTAACGGCTCAATTGTGGTTACTCGAGAAGAGCCCAGCATTCTATCCTGTACCAACATGGAGCTTCCGTCCATGAATTTTTCGCGAGGCGGCGATTTCTCCTTGTTTGCGCCGCCGATGCCCGACGATGTCACATTCAACGTTACTGCTCCAGTGGCGCCTAAGATGAAATTTGAAGAAACTACCGTATTTACGAGAGCCGCGCGGAAGGAGATGAGTGGCTTCTGGTATCATGATCCCGATCCGGAAGAGTCTATCACGAGAAAAGAATCTTTCGCAGATTTTGAAGCAACGTTGCCTCCCTCCAGATGTTCAAAGACTGATGAGATCGTAAAGCCGTTTGATGTTTTCGAAGATTCTTCAGCCCTGAGGAAGATGGACATTAGTCCCACGCCTTCGTCCGGAAGGAAGCATCCCAGCCCTGATGAAAACTCTGGGAAAATCATCTCTGACGCTGCGCCATTTTCCGTTTTTGAAGATTCTTCGTGCCTATCGAAGCCAGCGAGTGCAAATGTCTTCAGAATACATGAAGACGAACCCACAAAAACTAGAGACCTCAAATTCGAACCACCTATTACAGCGCCTCTTCGTGGTGAAAATGATCCTGCTTACTCCTCGTCGGGGGGTTCGAAAATCAATCCTTCGTCAACCAGAAAGAGCATTTTCCAAGCCCCAGTCGCGAAGAAAGAAAATGTGCCCCCCATGTTGAAAGCTGTACCTTCCGAATTAATCAAGAATTCCGAAGATTATACCGTTTCGGGTATTTCTCAGGGCTACCAACCCGCCCAAGAGGAATTCACTTTGAGATACCTTCTGGAGCCGAGTCAATTTAGTGCACTTGCGAGGAAAGAACAACTGCAGTCGACTCCCTGTGAGAAACGTGGATCGCGGAAAACTGAAGACCAAAGCTTTGTGCCTTTACGTTTGAAAACGAAGACTCCGTGCCGAGCTTCAATCATGCCCGCCTTGATGAGCCCTCTGGTCGAGTGTAGTAGAGAGTCGTACCAGTCGAGTAGTTCAGGATCCAAGTCCACCTGGAAATTGTGTACTACGGTGCCGGATAAGCTGCAAGCCATTGCCGAAGCATCGACGATGGACGGGTTAAGTCCTGCGGAGTTTCTGAAGGAGAAGATCATCGAAGATCCCATGAATGACGAGCTCAAGTTCCACTTGGCCGTCTTATCCTATGGCGAGGCGCAATTGCGGTGTTTGGAAAACTTGAACGCGTCCTGGAAAGACCTTTCCATGGGCAGCAGCATCAAGTTGTGCGATGGCGAGCTTCATTCGATTTGCATCATTTGGGACATGAATTCCTTTTGTCAACGAGACACGAACGCTGTTGTGCTCGTGACTTCCGGCAACAACGCTGCCAAGTTCGTCAAATTGATGGAGCCCTTGTCTTCGTGGGAAGTATTTTGCTGGTTGCAATTGGCACGCCGCACGAACCGAGTTCCCCCCAGGGGAGTTGTGTTGGATGCGGATTCTTACGCTCTGGTTGAGATCCGGGATTGCAGCAGCACGAATTGGAATTCGCTCATCAACCTCATTGGGTTCTACAAAGTCCGGAACGAGTTGCTTCCAGTGGAAATAATTCTGCGCGTGTTGTTGGTGTTGGTGCGGATGGTGAACGAATTGCACGATTGCGGGCTGGTCATTGGTTACATTGCCCCCGAGAATATTTTGATTTCGGACATTATCTTGGATGATAGCGCCCCGTGGGATGAAAAGATTTTCATCGGGGATTTGACGAGTGCTGTTGATCTGATGGAATTTCCCGAAGACGGTGTGAAATTCTGTTGGAGTCGGCCCGAGGCGAATGACGTGTTTCTGCTTGGGACCACTCCGCATGAGGTAGGAATGTGCATACTTATGACAAAAACCGTGAGCTGAGACTGCTAATTCTTGAATTCTAAAAAATGGGGGTGAAGCTCAAGTCCTTGCTGTGATGGTGTGGATGATTTGTTTAAACGAGGGTGAGCAACAAGTGGGACATGCGTTGGAAAGTTATCAAATATTTGTATTGAAAATTACCATATTTACTAACGCGCCAGGGGTTTTCAGTCGAAATACGTCATGTCCATTTCCAATCGCGTGACGGTGACTTCAGTAGGAAAAGGCTGACAAAATATTTGAAAGAAACTCTCTTGGGTGGAGATCTCACAGCATTTCAACCTTGGTGTAGAAATACGAAATTCTCAAATCATTCCATGTCGAAGGCCTGACCTTCGTCGTTGTTGTATTTTCTTTCCATTTGACCATCTCATTCCTGAATTTGTGTGCAGGTGGATCACATTGGAATTGTGAAAATGCTGGCGTGCATGTTGTTCCCAGAAAAGGAGTTCAAGATCTGGGTGGAGCAAGATCGACGAGTTGCTTACTACAATTTATCCAGGAAGTACAAGTTTAGAAGCCTCTGGCAAACTGCCGCCGACCTTCTTTTGAACCCGGAAAGTCATCAGAATCCTCTGCCTGTTCTCCAAGAAGTGATCCTGTGTGGGAAAGAAATCCAGGTCATTCCGGAAGCATCGGTGTGCGAAAAATTTCGTTCGGCTCTCACCGGCGTGCATTTGGATTGATGTTCTACTGTATTTGGTCTTGTTCTACTGAGTAATTCTCTCTCATTGTGACCTCCTCTGGGAAGTTTTATACAATTTTCTCAAATTTGTATGATTTTTTTTATTGAATATTCACCCAAGGGTTGGAAATTTGGATGAAGGACTGCATTCTGATGAAGCAAGCATACCCCTTTGGTGCCTTCTGTACTGTAGAATTATTGATGCAAGTTTCGGGGCTAAACATGCCGTAGCTGAGAGAGTTTGCAAAGTTTCTGAGAGTTCTTTGGTTGAGTTTCTTTCTCTGATGCGGTGAAATCTCATTACAACAAATTTTTCAGTACCACAAACTTTTTTCCACAAGTTCCAACAGAAAGCCCATACATCAAATGTTGGATCAATCCCATCACAATAAACTTCCCCAATGCTGCGTAAAAAGTTTTTTTGAGGGATGTTCAATAAATCCTTTGGGTAGACATTTTCTGACAGGCAGATGAAATTTCCAATACCACCAGTTCTAGAAGCTTGAATGAAAGTGGAAATGAATGCCAAACTTAGAGTACTTTGAAGTGGTTCAACACATCCCTGACAGAAGAGATTGCTGCAACCAATGGAATGTATAAAAGAAGCTATTTATTTTAAAAGATCACTGTCCTTCAAACATTAATACAAAATCTGCAAAGGCTAGAGAAGCAAGATGTGTATTGAATGTTTGCAGGTCTGATGTGAATTCTTCCCATTGATAATGTTGAAATATTTTAACAAATTATTCTGTATAACAAACTTTGTTACTTTCCTGTTATCTCAGTACATACTTTCCTTTTACCTCTGTACCTTCCCTCTGACCAATTTAACCTGACCTAACCTAACTTCACCTAACCACCTCTCAAAATCAGTTTATGCTTTCTTTGGGTTTCTGCTGAAACTGATTTTGGGAGGAGGTTAGGTAAAGTTAGGTTAGGTCAGGTAATTTAATAAAATATATTTGTAACTAACATAACCTGACCTAACCTAACTTTACCTAACTGCCTCCCAAAATCAGTTTCAGCAGAATGCAGAAAATAAAATTCACAGTTTCTGGTTGGTCGTTGTGATTATGAACTTGTCCTAAAGATTTGTCTGGATGGTAGTGCAGTCCAGGAATGAGGTACTGAGATAACAGGAAAGTAGCCAAACTTTTTCTGGAGTTCCCAGAACTTCATTTAACTAGTATTTACTGTATGCTTTTCTGAAATTTTAATTTAGAAATGCAGTAAGTAAAATTGATTGCTTTATTGTTTAAACAAAAAGACAATAATAGGAAAGTTGAAAAGAATAAAATTTGACATATGCAATATACTCCACCACAATAATTCGTTTTTTAGTACATTTATGTCAAAGCATGAAATCTATGCTAATTTATAGTGTATTTATTGATAACGAATGTGCAGGCAAGAATTTCCAAAAGCCCAGCAAGAAATGGGGTGTGGGAGCAGGATGTGTGGTCATGGTTTGTTCTCCATATATAGTGTTGCACACCATGTAGAAAGGGGTCCACCTTCTCATCAAGCCTCTTGACAGTTCCAATACCAATTTGCCAGTGCTGAAATTGCCAACAGCACTGGCAATTTCAGGCCATGATGAAAAGCCCCAAGGATCATGCCCAAGATGGAGACTTCATAAACTTGGCAGCCGGAGGGAAACACAGATGTAAAGTTTTTGCAACTTGAAGGCTCCTGTAAATTGTGCCAGGCGGTGTGTCTTTATAGTTATCCCTTTGTAGGATCGATGTCATCTTTACCTAACTGCCTCCCAAAATCAGTTTCAGCAGAATGCAGAAAATAAAATTCACAGTTTCTGGTTGGTCGTTGTGATTATGAACTTGTCATAAAGATTTGTCTGGATGGTAGTGCAGTCCAGGAATGAGGTACTGAGATAACAGGAAAGTACCCAAACTTTTTCTGGAGTTCCCAGAACTTCATTTAACTAGTATTTACTGTATGCTTTTCTGAAATTTTAATTTAGAAATGCAGTAGGTAAAATTGATTCTTTATTGTTTAAACAAAAAGACAATAATAGGAAAGTTGAAAAGAATAAATTTTGACATATGCAATATACTCCACCACAATAATTAGTTTTTTAGTACATTTATGTCAAAGCATGAAATCTATGCTAATTTATAGTGTATTTATTGATAAGGAATGTGCAGGCAAGAATTTCCAAAAGCTTTACGAAGCCCAGCAAGAAATGGGGTGTGGGAGCAGGATGTGTGGTCATGGTTTGTTCTCCATATATAGTGCTGCACACCATGTAGAAAGGGGTCCACCTTCTCATCAAGCCTCTTGACAGTTCCAATGCCAATTTCCCAGTGCTGAAATTGCCAACAGCACTGGCAATTTCAGGCCATGATGAAAAGCCCCAAGGATCATGCCCATGATGGAGACTTCATAAACTTGGCAGCCAGAGGGAAACACAGATGTAAAGTTTTTGCAACTTGAAGGCTCCTGTAAATTGTGCCAGGCAGTGTGTCTTTATAGTTATCCCTTTGTAGGATCGATGTCATTTCAACAAATACCATATTATACGTCAATATAGTTTTTACACTCTTGAATAAATGTTGCTAACGTTTTGTAGCAAGGGAATTTTTGTTCTTAGCAAGATTTTTTGGCCTATACCATATTTTCAGACTTCGAAGATTTTTCTCAAGGGGTTTTTTTTTTCATTGAGCCATGACAGTGTTGAAACATTGAATCATAGGAATGTACAAACCCCATATGCAATATAAGCACTTCATTACTTGTGATAAGTACATCATTGAAAGGCTGTACTGTACAGTCACTGTATGACCAGATGAATCATCTTTGAATATTTGGAAGTTCAATTTCATTGGAAAAATTGTTAATGGTGTCCTTGTTACGTTGAAACTCTTTATACCTTGAAGGGTCAGTGAACCCAAACTGAGTTACAGAGTCAACCCATCAAATAATCAATTCTTATGCTGTAGGTTGACAATCACTGATTCTGTGCTGCAAAATACAATTCCAAGCTATTGGTTATATCTTTCTTATTTTGGAGCCACAGCAAATGAATGGAGACAACGTTAAGCGTGGCTTTTCTAAACAAGGCAAGTTAGTATATTTGACAATGAGACTCTTGAATATTTTTATAAGCTGTTGTATGTTTCCTTGTTGCTCGCTTATTGGCATTGCACTTGTCTCCTATTCTGAGGATTAGGAGATATATGAGAGGACCCTTGCTTTGAGGTTTAGAGGAAGGAAGGAGGATTTGTTATTTGCTTAATGGCTTTAGGATAGTACATATGAGATTGTATTCCAAGTCCAACCCTCCCCACCCCCCTTTTTAGCATTTCCCCAGTGAAAGGAATCATTGATCCTCTGCAATACTTCAATGAGGGATAAATGGGCTTCCATTACAGCCTCCATCCTTGATGGAGGAGTTACTTGTGAGTTGTGACCAGTGTGCTCATGTAGGGATCATTGGCCAGAAGTCTCACAGTGTCTCTTGCATTCTTGTTCTTGTGATACCCTCTGGGGTCTCATTATTGAAAGAGCCAGAATTTGGTCAATTCCTTTGAAAAAAGCGGTAATGTGCAATGCCTTACTTTCATTCTGCTAAAGTTGGCCTGCCATGATGATAAGCCAGAAAAAGGTTTCTTGACGGCATTGGTGCTGGTCAGCTCATCAAGCACAAAATTTTGGAAAATTATGCATGCAAACATGCAGGTTGTCTGTAGGGACCAGTTGTAAGTGTGGACTAGCCATTCCAGACCTTGCCATCAGTATATGGTACTTTTGGATAGAGTCTTTTGGTCACAGCCTCTTTTGAGCAGGTCAAGTCAGCAGGGTTGTCCTTCCCACAGACAAGCTCCCACTGAGCCTTACTGGTGCACTCAAGAATTTCATCTCCCTGGTCTCTTATACATACTGCATTAGGCAAGGGCTGTCAGCTTTCCAACAGCCCAAACCAACTTCAGATTAAATCCAAAGGATTGCCTATAGTGCTTGATTGCTGGTGTTCACTTCAACTTCTGCCCATATTTTAAGAGGAACAAAGTTATTTTGTGGCCCAGTTGGCAAAAAATTGCCCTTGAGAACATCATTTGAGATTTGCAAAGTACCAAGGGAATGTGTGGACTTTGCAATGGTGGCACTACATCAGGGTTGACCAATTGTTAAATTGACGTATATGAAAGAAACTAATGAATTTCTGGATTCTATATGTAATCCACATCTCATAATTGATGACACAGGAAATTCGAAAATCGGATGTGTCACTTTTTTCCAATTTGCGAGGCAGGAAAGTCGGATTTCCTCACTGAGATTTCCTTCCCCATTTCCTGTTTCTGTTTGCTTGTTCCCTCTTGTTCAGCACTCTCAGGATCTCCGGAACGCTGGGTAAAATTAAATTAATTAATAATTCACACTGAAAAAATTATAGCTTTGTTCAATTTGGGATATGTCCATTGAGAAAATTATTCGCAGGCTGAAGGACAATTTTAATTTGATTTTTTATATTCTTGTCTTCAATGCCTAATCAATTTCAAAGTTGGCTTGGAAATTTTGGTTCTATAATAAGGTTGTATTCCCACCTGAAGTTCGAAAAAAATCCAAAAATTATTCAACTAGAATCCCTATACTTGCTGTTATAATGTTATAAAAATGAACCCCCATGTGAACTTTGAATAGTAATGCAATTTCGATTGGAATGTGGATGTTTCAGCGGGTTACTCACAATTGAACGTTCTTATTCTTCTGCTGATGATACCGTCGCATGTGGCCCAGCCAGGCAGTCAGAATATTCATGCTCTGCTTTATTTTGTCATTTCCAACTTTGTTCTTGCCACTGCTGGGGCTCTTTGACATCGTCATGGCGTTCAATTGTTGCAGCACCACGTTGCTCAGGTCAGTGGCTAGAGGGGTGATGGTTTGATTCTTGAGGTTATCCAAGGCCAACTCCAACATGGGGGGCAAGAATGAGTCGAATTGATCCATGGTCATCAGTTTGCTGCCTCGCCAAATGGGCAAAAGCTGCGCAGCTGCTATCCACGGGATCGGATGACTTTCTGACACCAAATATCTGGAAGTAAAATGCAGAATTTCTGCACTTTGAACAACAAAGAAGAAATGCACCAGTCTCATCTGAGAATCACTTTATAGCCCTGGTTGAAATAATGAATGTTAGAAAAAATGTAAGGGGTTAGGCTCATTTAGAAGCCATTTTGACCCTGCGATGCACACCTTTTGAAAAATGGACTTGAAACATTGTTTATGGAAATTTTTGGGGAAAATCCAGATGAAACTCTCATTTCAAAGAAAATTCTCATCTCAATATTTTTAGGAAGTGTGAGTTGCAGGCTTTGAAAATTATTCTGAGGCACTTATGATCCCAACAACAAGTATTTGAAAAATGGGGGTTGCTTCAGGTATAACTGCTTAGCTTTTAGGGGTTTTCCAAAAAATTGGGGTTGCTTTGAGCATAACCTCTTGGATTTTAGGATTTTTTTGAAAAATGTGGGTAGCTTTGAGCATAACCCCATTCGATTTTAAGGTTTTTTCTTGAAAAATGGGGGTTGCTTCGAGCATCACCTCCTAGATTTTAGGGTCATGTTCAAAGCAACCCCCTATTTTTCTAAGATTTTTTTGCTGTGATCCTAACTGCCTTAGAATAATTTTTGAAGCCAGCAATTCACACTTCACTAAAAATATTGAGAAGAAAATTTTCTTTGCAATTCAAGTTTCATCTGGATTTCCCCCAAAAATTTTCAAAAATGATGCTTCAATTTACAATTTTTCGGAAAGTATGCATTCCAGGCTTCCAAATGAACCCAACCCCTTATATTTTTTTCAACATTTATGATTTCTGAAATAGCTATGCTCAAAGCAGACACATTTTCAAAAAAATTCTACTTCGAGCATAACCTTTTAGATGCAATGTTGAAAAATGTCTGCATTGATGATTCTCACCTGCGGATTTGTGTTTTAAACCTCTGGATCAAAATTTTGGCTGTGAGCATCTCCCCCCTCAGATGAAATGTTAACAAAATTGTGTATGGATGATTAAAACCTGTTGATTTGTGTTTTAAACCTGTTGATTTGTGTTTTAAACCTCTTGATTAGAATTTTAATTGCAGGGGTTATGCTCATCAACATAAAATCCATTTTCAAGGAGTTTTTGCTGGGAGCATCACCCTGTTGAAACATTAAAACCTGCAATCTACCCTCTCCAAAAGTTTAAATTAAAGCCTAATTTTGAAACTATCCTTTTTTTTTAAATCAAACTCCCCTTAGATGCAGCATTGTGATGAATTTCAACCTGTAAAAAAGTTAGTCATCAAAAACGAGGGACACGTACAGCATTCAGCTGTATTTTTTTTAAATACGTGTTTGGGATTGCTAATCGAAAAAATGTTTGTCTATTTTGAATAATATTCTTTTCTTCCCCATTGAATAAAAATATTCTGTATGAATTTTGCTATTTTTTCAATTTTTTATTTCTATGATGGAAATATTTGAAAGTTTTCAAGTTTTATTCTATTTTTTATTCACTAAAAATGTTCATAGTGCGAAATTCTTTTGTCTTGCACGGGTGCTTTCTGCTGGAATGGAATTTTGTTTTACGAGATGTTTGTTAAAGAGGGGGCTTGTCATACAAGGTACCACTGTACAATAAAATCTTGTTACAACAAACTCCCTGCTGGGACCTGGGAAAAATTTGTGGTTACAAATCATTTTTTATAAAGAGAGGCTTTCAGAGCATGTAAGACTGAAATCTTGTGGAAAAAGGTAGAACATGCTTCCAAATATTGTACTTCCATCACAAACATGTGAAGAATTCCCAAAATTTCCGTTGTCTTTTGATGATATAATCCAGAAAATTAAAAATGTGAAAAACAATTCTCTTATTTCAGAATAGACTTTCCTACATTTTCCAAATATGCACCATAAATACTCAAGTGTGAGCTGAAAGAAACAAAATTGCATGTTAAAGGTTTAAATTTTTCATTAAAAACTGCATGTTCCCTGGAAGAAAGCAGTATCCTTCCAAAAAAACTTTTCTTAAAAAATTAACGAGTCTGCATTTATATTCTATAGTAAACATACATACAGTGAATTTTGATTACAGCATCATACACTATATAATGCTGAATAATTTGTGCAAGAAGATTAGCATTCATATTTCCTGAAGTTTTTCTGAATGAGGCACCCGTTTGGTTTTATTCCCATATTATGGCAAAGGATAAAAAATGCTATTGGCCACTCCATGAAAGTGGAGATTTGTTTGTGAGTCCCCAATATGTTGACACCCCAAAATTTGAACAATTCAACAGTAGGGACACTTGAAAACCAAAAAAATCCGGCCCCACACTCGAACATTGGCTTGAATTATAGGGACAATTTTCTGAAATTTCCCAAAAAAAATCTGAGCTTATCATTATTTTTCATTTTTATATCTTTTGAACAAATCAAGCTATAGCCATACAGTATACACAAAATTGAAAAAATATTTCATTAAAAATTCACTCTGATTTAGTCAAAAGTAAGCAGCCTTTGTGCTTCTTTTTCCAGTGTTTTTTTTTTCAAATTATCCATGCATACTCCAGCAATAAATATTTGTTTTCTTTGCTTTTTGATCTCCTTATTTGATACCAAAAGATCAGATTCAATGTGGTTTGGTTTGGCACTGTTGCTTTTCACAATTTGAAGTTGAGGGAAACAAATTTCATTGATTTTTTTATGGACTTACTTATAATCTTTGACAAAAAGGAGAACCAATTAAATACATTAGCATGGAAGTCTAAGGGAAAATGAGACATGACTTGGGGGAATTCCAGCATTGCAACACTCTGACACACCAATTATGTCCACATCTTAAAATTGGGGTCTCACTGTACTGAGATTTCAGAGGAAAATGTGTTCATTTTAAATATTTAAACATTTTATTGTAAGGGAGAAACTGCTAGAACCAAGGACAAATTTGATGACCCAAAAAGTTTATTCAAACCAAATTTCATGTCAAAAATTTTACTGCAAACATAAGAAAACATCACAGCCAGTCAGTTTTTTTCTGAAACTTTCTCTTGAATATTAGTTCATGCGAACCAGTGTAGATTTGACTCATTTAAGTGATTCCTGCAATGGATGCCCAACAAATGCTTCCATTCTATACCCAGTAAAATGATCTACAATTCTACATCATAAAGTTTGTCCCTTTACATAAAGAATTATTTTACATCACCAGTGGGGGTTATTACACTATATAAATGACTCACCGGTCAATGAGTTCACTACTGCTGTTCCTTTCAATTGAAAATGCCAAATTATATTGTATTTCACTGTAATGCGAAGTACACTTACGCTGGAACCATTGCACAAACTTGGCTGTCAGCAATGTCCACTGCACACAAGATGGTCAAGTCGGACAATATCTGGGCTCTGTTGATTGGATCAATCACTGATGGATCCGAAATCAGTTGGCCAAGCTGTGAAAGCATAGGAAGCAGATTTATTCTTCAAGCATGAAAAATAAGGTTCTGCTCTTCAAGCAATTTTAGATTCACAAAAGCTTGATGAAACCAAACACAAGCTGATGAAAAGCATATCCCAGCTGGAAAGGCTGTCATCTTGCATTCAGTGACAAAATAAAGATTGAGAAATGAGTTGGACAGGACTCAGCATTCAGATT